CGGGAGAGTCCGCTCTCTCGAACCGGTCCTCGACACGACCTCGACCGCTCGACCGGTCTCGAGGACGTCTACGAGGACGCTTTCCGAGAAGAGGATCGACCGACGACGAGCACCGTTCTCGACGAGACTGAGCTGGATATTATCAGAAGGAGCATCGCGCGAGGTCTTGGCCTCAAGAGGATACCCGACCCTTCCAAGGTGAGTAGTCTTTTGCTTCTCTCTCTTCCCTTTTTCCTCCCTTTCTCAGTTCGCTTTTGCTTCTCTCGTCTCTCGTTCTGTTCCACTCGATATCGATGCGGATACGGAAACGGCCACAGATATGCATATTCATGTCGATGTTTCACGTAACAACGTCACACGTCCGTTGGAACACGTTAGTTGCGTGATCCATCTGGAGTTTTGCCGATTAGGCAATGAATTGTTGGTCTGTAAAAAATTCATACAGCAATGCGTAATGTCAACGAGAATGTTGCTTGAGCGAAGAAAATTGTTACTATTATTATTGTTGTTGTTATTATGAGATTCTATTTATTTAACAGGCGAGACAAGCAAGAAGAGCTCGCGTTTCCTTTTATATATTTTATACCAATCTTTTATACACTAATGGAAATTTATTCCCGTCTATGGAATGAATAATAACAATAATAATAATAAATAGCACGAGAAAAATGGGAAAAGCAGTTGGAAAGTGAAAAGAAAAAGTGAAGGGAAGCCGGAACTCTAGGTGGAAATAGAAGAATGCTGGACGTAGAGAAGGCAGAGAGTAGCGATGGTGGCGGTGGCGGTAATGGCGGCAGTCGAGTTTCGCAGAGGGTAACGAACAATGAACGAAAAGGAAGAAAGGACTAAAAAGATAGAGAGGGTACAGAGAAGGGGAACAGATGGCGAGAGAAGGGAATGCAAGAGAAAGGAAAGAAAGGGAACGGAAGGGAATCGAATCGAAAGGAGCAACTCGACGGCGAAAGGGTATTATGTGTATACCGTAGAAATCGCGGGAACGACATGGTGCAAGCGGCAAGTAGTACGTAAACAACGGCGAGTCGAAGACGAGGAACGTGGGTGGTCTGCGTTGCCCCACTTTCGCTACGTATGCACGAGCACGTGCGCATTCCTGCTGGTATGCAGAACCGGCTGTCCACGTGCGTACGACGACAACGCCGCCGCTGCCATGCTCTCTTCTTTTCTACTCTATTCAACTCTTCTTCTCCCCTCGTTCCTCTTCGCTTTTTTTCATCTGGTCCCTGGCTTTCTGCTACTAATGAAGATGCAGCACGTTGCCTATGATGAAACTGCCGGACCTGCCGGGGTCGTTGGACTATCGAGACAAGTTACATCGCATCGAATCAACTAATTCCTGTCGCAAAAGCAAGCGACGTCTCATTTGGATCAATCGAGTTACGCGAATTCGAATGAAGCAATTCGACCAATAAAAATAAGTATAAGTTCGGGTATAAAAACTCGATGGCCGCGGGATGATTTAATTGGCGACGAATCGAGATCGATGGAGGGTTAGCACGAGATGCAGAGCGATTTTAGACGTACGCGTTTCCATCTAAATTCGGAGCGTTACGTGAACGTTGGCATCGATCGTTCGGAAATTCCCAAGCGATCCGAGACGATCGGTGAAATCGGAGGAACTTGGACTGGCGATTTCGGTAGGAAAGTGGAAGGAAGGTAGGAACGGCGATTTAGTCGATGACGATGATCGAAAGAGGTCTCGTTCCGGATCTTGAAAAGGACAAGAGCGGGAGAAGAGGTGGCGGGAGCGACATCGCAAAAGAACACCTGTTGTCGCAGCCTTTATAGCCGGTAGGTTCGCCGTTATGCGCGCACGCGATAACGAACGTCGATTCTTGGCCGTCCTCGAAACTCGAGGACATCCTCGACAAGTGTGAGAGAGAGTACGCGTGTCTCGAACGCAAGCACCTACATATATACATACATGTAGGTACGTAGCTCTGATGCCAAAGGGAAGATAGAACCAGTTATCTTTCTGGTTTTCTAGTTTTCAGGTCTTCTCGTTGCGTGCGCGCGCAGACGTACATTCTTCTTTTACCTCGTTCGATGATCCGCCGCACTTAACGCGTACCCACCCGTCCATCGTTCACATTTATATCCAGCTTCGTTGGTTTTTAACGAGACGAAAGAGTCGATCCGAGACGAGAAGAGACGAGGAGACGAGGAGACGACGATGGGACGACGGGACGACGAGACAAGAACCGGCCACGTCGAGAACATAGAATATGTCCAATTAACTTTCTTTCGCATTCGTCGCAATCGATTTGCAAGCACTTCGTCGTAGTGATCAGAGATAGTTTCAACACGATTGTAAGCAAACGACGTCGCAGATTGCATATTGCGCTGTCCGTTGATCGCTTCTGTAATGTTGCAAATATACTATAACATTGTATTAGACTTTTCCTTCGGCTCTAGTAACGCGAATTTCTATTTTATACTCGTGCGATTTCTATGTACACTTTATACTTTTTGTACACCGATGACAGGTAATTCGGTATACGAAGGAAACGTTAATTCCGTTTGCAAACGAAAGTAACGAGTTACGAAGCAGAAAAGTGGCGATCGTCTAAATTTATCCAATCGAATCGGATGATTCGCGATTCGCAACGATCATTCTGCTCGATGAACAATGAAATCGAGCGAACTTAACGATCTCGGAAGATGAAAATCGCAAATAGATATCTGTCTGCTTAAATTTCCGCGACTTTCACCGCGTTAGACCATCTCGACCTCGAGGAAAGAATGATACAGCGAGATTCATGGTCGTTATGGTTGATACTGGAGAGAAAGCTATGGGAGAAGAGCGTGATGGCATTGGCTCGCGATCGAACGTGTTACAAACGCGCGCCCGACATCGAACGAAATCGAGTTCGATGAGAAACGTTCGAATCTGAAACACGATGACGCGCATTCCCGCCGCGTGTTTCGTCGAGCCCTCGAGCCTCGAGGCAGAGGGGCGAGGGTTACGCGAAGAATGCGGCCTGACTCGTCCGTCGATACACCTAGACGCGATGTGCGTTGCTTGCGAAAGATCTTTCTTCGAGACGTAGGCGTGGGAGGCAAACGAGCGTACGTGGTTGCGCGAACGTTTCTTCAAGGTCGTCCGCATTCGCTACAACGTCACCTATGCCCTCGTTGCGCGCCTACATACACTTGTTTCCAGATTTCTTTCCCCAAATACGTTATATCTTGCGAAAGGATCGTGCAGTCGTTCGGTCGTCGCACCGACCACGCGATTACACCCATTCGCCAATGTTGAAGTTACGTCGACGATTCTATTTTCAAAGTGAATCGCTAAAACCAAGAATGACGAAGTTGCGTCGGATACTTCATTTTCTCGGAAACGAATTTCCGATTTTCAGTCGTCCTAACTCTATTTGTACTACGAATTTAGGCCCACGGCGTACAGAAGATAAGTTCGATCCACTGTCTACGTCGTTCAAAGAACCTTAAGATTCATAATTCGTGCAATATCTTACAACGAATCTGATCCATACCGTTTCTCATACAGCTTGCACAGGCCTATCTTATTTCCTTAGCCACGGTGTATTTTTCCAAGAAAATAATACAAGACTATCGATGAAAGTGATACGCGACGTGGTTGCGTTTAGATTCTGTTCCTTTTGAATTCCGGCGCACGGTCAACGCTCGTTGGAGCAACATGTACATACCATACGTACGTACTATGTATCGGGATCTTTCTACAATTTCGTTCGTGTTCGAAGTTCGCGCAGTCATACCGTGTCTACATCTTCTTACCCCTCCTCGCACATCCTCTCTTTACCCCATTCCCTCTCCTCTCCTCTCCTCTCCTCTTTTCCTTACATTCTCCTACCTCTTTGCAAGTAGAAACATCTTCGAGTTTCGTGATAGCCATTGAGCAAGCGTGCGCCAGTCGAGTCCAACTACAAACCAAGACGAAAGACCAACGAACGCGACATCGATGACCGACACTGACCGACCTTTCGAACCAGTCAAGCGGTTGCACACGAGTCAACTCGCTTGGGGTCGGCAAACGACGTCTCGGTTTCAATCCGCAACGAGCGAAAACGCGTGTCTCAATCGATTTACGATTCGCCACACGAGTCCTTCTGACGGACTAACGATCTTGTGTCGTACATTCCGGTCGACGAGGAGTATCTTTCCCTCGAAGTATGCAACTTCGAAACCTTGGCGAATACTTGACGCACGAATGACGCGACGGACCACCGTCTCGACAAACCGGAACTCGCTCGAATCCACTAACTAGCCGACTTTAAAGAAAACAGCCAGTTAAACGAGTCCATACTTACTCGACGTATTGCGGAGGCGTCCGTGTGTCTCCGTTTCACACGGCTCACGGCTCTGATAGCTCGCTGAGTCATCCTTAACGACACGATCCTTCAGTACTCGTGTCCTCCTTCCTTTCAACCTCGCGATCTGTGAAATTCATTTCATTTATTAAACGTCTTTTCACTTATTAATCGTTGCGTTGCGTTATGTTGGTCGGCTCGTGCGTTATCCCGCGTACCGCGGCTAGCTAGAGCCGCGCGAACTGGCTAATTTTACCGGAAACGTCTAGCGTGTCTGGACTTTCTCACCATGGAAATTATATACCAACACGAGTGACGGCGAGGGTAAAGTGGCGAGGGACGTGTTTCGAGTGGATCTCGAAAATTGCAACGATGCTCGAGAACGACAAAGGGATTTGAAGAATAGGAAAAAAAGTACAAAGGGGGACCGGCGAGCAACGGGGAAAGAAGGCGAATGACGAGTGGCGAGGAAAGAGAGAGGCAAAGCGAAGAAAGGTTGTTGAGCCGCGACGTTGGGAAGATGGCAGACACTATATCAGTGCCTCGCCCGCAAACTAATTATCCCGCTTGAAGATCGATTTCAGTGAAACGTAAAAGCGTACGATTCGGTGAATTTTTCCATAGGTCACCGGAATTTTGCTTTACGTGTCCAACAGAGATTCTATCGCGTTTTTCACGCAATCCCTCCGATATTCAACGACTTTATTTCCCTTACCAAATTGATTAATGGAAGTACGCTGTCCACAACTCCTTAAACTAATTATGTAACTCTTGCGTGTTAGTAAGACCGTTGAGATCCTCATAATCATTTCTCCCCATATCCTTATTTTCCAATAAAACGATATTGTATCAAGTTCTACGTTCTATTTTCATAGCTTCATTTTTGTAGAATTTCCATTCCACATAACCTGACTTTCGCTACGCTTGCTCATCTTCTTATGCATTTCACGCTAATTTCTCGTATGTTAATAAAATTTTATCCTGTCTGTGAAATAAATCATACCTACCACTGTTCGTTCGTTAGCTGGTCAATAAGTCATCCTTACATATTTCCTTTTTTTTCAGGCAAACGTCAGTCAAGCCGAATACGAAAGAGCACACAGAGAGTACCTGATGAGAATGCAGTCGCCATTCGACGAGCGAACTTTTGAAAGCAAGAAGTTGCTACATGTGTTTCCCGCTACAGGTAACCAACGATAATTGATGACGATTGATCGATAGTGTATTGGGACATTCTTCTTCGTTCTCGAATCACTGATAATTTAGTATCGGTTGAACAGAACCGGCGATCTTTGGAAACGCGAAATATCTTACGATCTTTCTGAAAAAATATACATACCCACGCTATAATTACTACTTGTGTAAACATCGAGCATCCTAGTTTCCGCCAGTTCGGCAACGTCGACGAGATTTTACCAGGCGTATCTGGAATCGATGCGTATCGAACCAACCGCGATTATCGATCTTTCGCATTAACCTATAAACTGAGAAAGACAAGTCAATTTCTTATTTTGATTGTTAATATCATGATAATTTTTCTTATTTACGCATCTTCTGTTTTTTTTACATGTCGTTTCACGTTTGTTTAAAATAAATTAAAAGAACGTAAATTTCATCGTAATTGCGAATAAATAACGTATCATCTGCTTTTCCCTAAATATTTAACTATTTCACTTTCTTCGTCCTTTTTATTCTGTTGCCTCTTTAAGATTCGCTATTTTGTTAAATTTCTTATAGCTTGTTTATTTTACAACTACATTGTTGTTTAGATCCTGTAGTGATCAAAATAAACGAACATCTGTCGGTACTAAGTTTAGAGGATAGAGCGAATAACGCAATAATTTCCAATTTCAACCTTTTGAAATAGTTTATCCAATGTTTTCTATGCTACTAATCATTCTCACAGTAAAACAAACCTATTTTCTGATTCATTGGTATTGATCTTTTTTATATTGATGTTATTTGCGATCTTCCTAATAATTAATTATAAATTTCAGTAACTACGTATTTACCGTTTCAGTTTATCGCAGAAATTCAAAGTGCAAAGCATGACTGACGTTACTTATGGAATGACACGATATAAAGCGAATGAGTTTACAAATAAAACGCTTCGTTTCGCTTAACGTAATTCCACTTCGGTTTATCTCGATTCGATCAGATTCCATCAACTCGTATCTTCGGTCTATTTTCTCCTTTTCCGTTTTCGCGTTATTCCGCTTGAGAGGCCTCGCCAGAAGCATCTGCGTTATTATGAAAGAGAAATTCCGATCGCCACGGAATGCCGAGTAACGAGTTTCCGAATGCAATAAGAACGAATCGTCGAGAAAGATCAATTTGTCGACGACTCTCGCGCGTGACTCTCGACAATCGATTGCAGATCGCCGGTAATTTATACCAAACCGACCCTTACTGTTTTTCGTCACGAACCCAGACTCTAGACTCTAGACGAATGGAGCCGTACCGATTCTACGAAAACTAAGCCAAAAATATCGTAAAATACTATTTATAAAAGATATACCCACAGACTAAAATATTTTAGATAGCAGTGTGGTGCAAGGTAAGCTATAATTGGTGCGAGTCAAATATTCAGAGAAACCGTTGAATTTCCATTCAGTGACGGAAACACACAGGCTTGCTCGATTACTTACACAAACTGAAATATCGAAATATCACCAATTCCTGAATTTCACTTCGTTTCGAGTTACTTCACAGTTAGAATTTTCATGATTGATTTCTGTTATTGATATATATTTACTACGATAATCGTGGCCAGATCATTTCTTTAGCAATAAATCGACTCAAAAATCTTTTTCAAACATTCCAAGAAAAATAGAAACATTACCGAATATATCTCGAATCGTTTGTTATACATATACATAATATGGACTGTTTCGAGACATCGAGTCGAGATAACGTTCGAGTCGAACCGTTGCGCGTTGTATATCGTTGCCGACATACGACGCATACCCAGATAACTTTCTCAATCTGTTTCGTCGTATTTTTACGATTATTCCTGACAGATTTATTTCCTAGGATCCGTAACGCGAGCTTCGTATTACACGATGTTTTACGACTGCTACCGAACGAGCCGATCTAAGTGACGCGACGCTAATCCGTCGGTGTTGTGTTACAAGAATGCCACCGTGTTTTCTCTTACCAAACCCAACATCTATTTTCCAATTGGAGAGATCGAATATAGATCGAATATATCGAAATAATCTAACGAATAAGTTGCATCGTAACTATAGGTATCAACTTTCTTCTATGAGATCGTTGCGTGCTTTAATATGAAGGTGACTGCGTACAATCCATAATATTCTCAATATTGTTTAGCACTTATCCACGAAAATTTCAATATGTAAATGCGATATAACACAACTTAGAGCTTATTATATATTGATAAGAATTAGATATTGATAATAATATTGAATCATCCCATAAGTAACGCGGTTTTTCTGAAAGTTAAGTTCAAAACAAAAGACAAGTTGTTACTATCGGACTTCTATAAAATTGCAAAAGAAAATGTAATATATCGTGAACGATATTGATCGTGTACGGGCCACATTACGCGGAAAGAGATCGAAGATTCGATACGCCCGTGAAGCGAAGAAAAAGCGAACAAGGACTCGTGCGTACGTGTACCAACGAATTACCCCGGAATTTAATAATTCCACTAATTAACCGATGAAAATGGAACGGACGAGAGTTGCCGTTCTCGTGATCTCTAGCCGGATACGCGTGAACGTGTCCATTCTCATAGGTCATAGGCGGTTCTAACGATATTTTCGCGTCCATTGTCAAATCTCTTAACGTGCGTGAGGTTAAGTCGATAGTCGCGACGGGAAAAATGAAAAGGTGAAAGATAAAAGACAGGTAGTTGAGAATGCAGAGATCGTGGATTCCATTTAGCGTCGACATACCAACAGGCGAGAGAACGAGGAGGGAATGTAGCGATAGAAGATCGAAGACAATTCAAGGTTTTCACTTACGTAACGTTACGCGTTACGCGTATCAATTGTTCATGTTTATTCGTTCGTGATTGTTACAGCGTATCCTGGAAACGAATCGAGTCGACTGGATGGAACGAGCGAAAAGGAAAAACCCTATCGTCACTGGTTGTTCTTTCCCGTGGAAATTCCTCAGAAGGATCTGGATCAAACGTCGGTGGATCACGCGACGCTGCGACTGCTGCTTCACGGGCCGACGACAGATCACTACACCGAACGTTCCGAGCTGGAGGTGTTGTTCTATCTTCGAATTTCGTCATTTCGTCGCTCGAGAAAGTTAATCGGTCGTAGAAAAATTCAGCTGCAGGACTCCCGAAATCCGAGATGGCTCGAACTCGACGTGACTCAGGCCGCTTCCTCGTGGATCGAGACGCCGCTCGAGAACCTAGGAGTCGAACTGGAATTTATGATAGACAGCGAACCGGTAACACGTACCTTTTCTTTGCCGGTTCTTAACGTGTTCACCACGACGTATTCGGGCAGTGCCAGAGTAAAACGTTCTTCACCCAAAGATGTGATGTCTCTGCACAAAGGTCGTAGGACAAAGTGCAAAGGCGAGAGTAAAAAGTGTTGCAGACACGAGCTTACCGTCATGTTTAAAGACCTGAAAGGTTTCGAATTTATCGTTTATCCGAAAACCTTCGACGCTGGATACTGTAAAGGGCGATGCCCGCCTAGATACAATCCAGCTCATCATCACGCCCTTCTGCAAAGTCTGCTGTGGAAGGAAGATAGAAAAAAAGTGCCTAAACCATGCTGCGCGCCGAGTAAGCTCGACGAGTTGATGATCGTTTATTTCGACGAGAACGATGCTACTCAGTTGAAAAACTCGTACTGGAAGAACATTCAAGTACTCGAATGCGCTTGTTCCTAAAAATACCTTGTCCTTTCTTCCCGAATGGACGAATCGGCTAAATGACCGACTGAGCAACAGAGCTAACTAAGGTCATGTTTATAGTGGATACTTATTCGAAGGAACTTGAGTTCTAACGAATGAAACATCTGAAGACTGCAATGCATATAAATATACTCATAAAAATCTATATACATATTTGATTAGGCGGATGTATCTTCGTCAGAATGTCAGTTTGTTCGAATACCCATCCTCTGTAACCACAGTCTAATTCAATCAACTAATTAGTATATGTACATGTGAACGAACAGCGAACGAGCGAACGAACAAACGAGTGAATGGGAGCGAACGATAGAATATATATGTACACGTTCGATCGAAACGACACGATGATACGGACCAGTAAATGCTGCGATTAAAAACGTTGGTTACAGAATGACGAAAGGACAAGGGTTTTCATAGTCGCAGACGACTCACCAAAGAATCGTCCGAATACTGTTCGGTTGTGTCACTTTTTCGTCGTTACTCGCGACATACCGAAAACACTTGCTGTTAACGTATCACGCGAAACTTTCCTTTTCCGCTTGACCCCTTGTCCGCTTGGCATGTACATTTGCGAACGTTTCGATCGATAAAAGTTATTCCGTAAAACGAATGACGAAAGATTTAATCGTATCGCTGATAAACGTTCGATTCGGTTCGACTCGAGACATCATCGAAAGTCCAGGCTCTCGATCCAGGCTTTCGCATTGACTGTGATACTAAAAGATATCTGGCGTTTCTGCTTGTAGTAATCGTATTTCACACTTTCATCCTCTTTTGCCTTATTTCCTCTTCTCTGTCTTATTTTCTCGACTATTTTCTATATTCTCTTCTCCTCTTTCTTTCCTTCTTCTCTTTGTTTTTCTATTTTGATATTGAAGAACCATTAAGTGTATAGAGTTATTCACAACGAGAAGAAAGAAATACCGCGACAGCAATGTTTCGATTATTTGATTAGTGTCACTCTTAAATGAAGTCTTAATCGGAACAATTTAATTGCTTATAATTTATTGTTCGATCAAATATCGAACGATGAAAACTGTTACATCTTTTTACATGCTAAAATATTATCGAACGAAAGATTGTGCATTTTTTTTTTTTTACCAATGAAATTATGTTAATGTTGTACAGAGGATTTGATCGAAACTTGGTAGCATAACCGAAGTTTGTGCACGGCGGAAATCTCGCGAATGCTCCTGCAACTATATATATGTATAACATTTATGGACTATCACCCAGAAGACTCTCCTGTTTCGCCTTCGTTGTAAATGTACAAACGCATAACCGAAATTATAATGGTCCCGCTGCACCTCGATCAAAAGTTTAAATGCGTTCTCATGTCGTGACGCGAACATGTATCGTTCGCTGAGTCAATTTCGATCACGCACCATAATCGTAACCTCGCGTTACATGTATTTGTCTAATCGACTACTATCGATGATGTAAAATAAAATTTTATTCCTTATTTATAACCAAATAACCCATAACTGATCCTAATTGAACAAAATGTTTCATTCAACAGCCGGCATAAAGAGTTACTTGATTTTCTAACGCAACAATGATATGAAGCGACAGTATGCATTGCACAACATGACACATTCGATATAGGTTACACAGGAAGGAATACGAATCTACGAATAAGGCAAACTTTTCAATACCGTAGTATGTAAAAGGTTATCACCGTACGACAGCAATAAACTTTCGCTGAATGCGATGTTTCTTACCCTACGTACGAAGCCAAAGGTCGCTTTACTGGCACTAAATTATGCAATCTAAGACAATTCATTCACATTGTTGCGTTATCTTTCAACGAGTTTAACTAACCTTTTACGGATACTATGGTAATTACAAAGCAACGTCGATTTATTCACGCAATACATGTGAAATGAATCATTCGATGAATCGATTCAATGAAAATTTGACAAAGATTTTCGAAAATAACAATTTCGAAATACCACTATCTCCTGTCTGTTTTTCCAACACCTCGTTTTCCCGAAAACAAATGTTTTGGCATTTTCGTGCCGATAAATCGATCTGCTTCTCCTTTCAATCCCTTCTTCGCGATCTTTTTCTTCAAAGCTTTATGCGCAATGTTCTTTAATTTAGTCTTCATCGTCGAATCCTTTACACCCATTTCGTCGCGAGCAGGTTTTGAACTACTTCGAGCTCTTGACTGAGACTCGGATTGCAATCGCATACGTTTCCTAGCTGGTTGCGATAGAGACCTTGCACGTCCTCTAGTCTTGGTAAAGTGCGCCTGTTGGAATTTAAACAAATAATCATATAAGCGAATCTTATACACATTTCGTTCCGTTACATATCGTTATTCTTAGTATTTATTTTGATTATATTTCGATGCGTTACTCACATTTTCTGTGTCTTCCATATCGATACCCAAGTCTTCCATTTGTTCTTTCAATTTCGATACCGATCTGTCTCGAAGTTTCGCCGCTGCTGTGCGCGGCATTACAGGCTTTGTAGAAGCCTTCAGTATTCGGGCTTCGTCTTTCATAATAGCCTTCTTTTCTCGAATTTGCTTAGCTATTTGTACAATTTCTTGCATCGTCTCGGACAACTCGGCCACTTTATAATCGTACATTCCCGCCTCTTCGCGAAGCTGCTCCTCTTTTTCCAGGTCATTTAATTTCTACCGTAAAGGGTAAAAATAAAGTTCTATCAAAGCAAAATGTCATACGCGTGTTTAAAACGAATAAATATGTACAAACATTAAATATTTCTGGATCGATGTAATCAGCGATATTGTGTCCTTCCCAAATCTCTGGAATAACATCATATTTTTGATCGCCCTCGATGTCATAATTCTTCTTCAAATCAAGTACATAATCGTCTCCCATTTCTTCCTCTATTTCTCGCTCTAATTTTCGTTTTACCTTTAATCCTTCCTTCCTCTTTCTTAAAACGCTCTCAGGAATACAAGGAGCGCGAATTTTATCATCTCTCGGCACAGGTTGTGCAACGTGTAAACGATTAAGCAGTCCCT